TCTCTCTCTCTCTCTCTCTCTCTCTCTCTCTCTCTCTCTCTCTCTCTCTCTGTCTGTCTTTTCTATACTGCCGTCTCCATTGTTTGTTTCTTTGAACTTCATCATCATCATTGCCTTTCTCACCCTCCACCAGGGTATAGGCCACGGACAAACACCTTCCACCTTTCTCTATCCTGGGCTAGTCTCTTGATGTTATTCCTTGTCTTCCCACGTTTCTGTACATCGATTTCTGTGATTCTTTTCCAGGTTCCACGCAGTCTTCCCCTTGATCTCTTACCCTGTGGGTTCCAATCCAAAACTTTATTTGTTATGCAGCTACCTGACTTCCTGAGAGTATGTCCAATCCATCGCCACCGCCGTCTTCCTACCTCATCTCTGACTGGGATCTGTCTTGTTTTCCTTAACATTTTCACATTGGTGACCCTGTCTGTCCATCTGATCCTCAGTAACTTTCTTAGACACCTGTTCAAGAAAACCTGGATCCTCTTTACGCAAGTCTGTGATGCGTTCCAAGTCTCACATCCATACAACAGGACCGACTTCACATTTGAATTGAAAATTCTCAGCTTTGTTCGAAGTGAGATATCTCTGGTCTTCCAAATCCTATCCAAAGATATGAGAGCAGCCTTTTCTTCGAACTTGGCGATTCCAAATCTTTCTAAGACAAAACCCCCAAACATAACAAAGCATGGAGACTGCCATTTGTGCTAGAAAGACATGCCAAATCTAAAAATTAATAAAACGATCACTCACTCAATTACCCATTCAATCAGTTGGCAGTGCACTCCATCAGTTTATCGATAGACAGGTAAACCCTTCCCCTTCGTCAGTTGAAATAATGATCGGTCTAATCTACTCTGTGCAAATAGCAATGGCCATTTAACAGTTTTAAGAGCCAAGGGAAGTACTGTTTAATTTCTTTTTCAATATAGTTGTTTTACACTCTTATAACTGACACAAAAAAGATAATTTTAGGGGTGGGCTTCAACTCTGACTGTCAGGGCCAGTGCACGCGAAGAGGCAGACAACATCCAAGGAGAAATATTGAGATACTCGATAAAACATTTCCCCTCACGGGAATTGAACTCTGGTCTTCTGCATGAGACGGCGAAGTGCCTTGCCAGTTCAGCACTCTACGCCACATTGTGAAACGTGAAGCGCTGGTTAGCTTTCACAATAAATGGTGTACCATACATTTTCTTGTAACTACTATATTCTCGTTCCATTCAATTCTCGTTTCAGTTTTTGTTTTGTTATGTTTTATTGGTGCTGTATTACCCAACTATATTGTAAACGAACCGCACCGTAGGGTTCCTTCAGTTGAATATGTTCATAAATGGCTTCAGCCGAAATCGCACTCCACACGAGAAGCGGTCATTGATATTGGAATTTTTCTATAAACACCAACATTATTTCACCAGCAAAAGTGAACATGAAAGTAAAGAAGGCTGAAAGATAGCCATTGGCAGGGAGGACCTACTTCAAAATCGAATGCATTTCGAATCCGCAAAGGAATGATCAAAGTTATTGTCACTGGGGGCGGATGGAAGGTGGTTCGGGGGGGGGGGCATAAGGGGGAGATCTGATCTTCAAGTTAGAAGAAGCTTTCGTTTGTTCTGGAAACGTATTCGAAAAGTGTCGTGTACACAGAGGGGGATACTCTAGGATCGTCGCAGACTGAGAGCAAGAAAGGCGATCCCACAAGGAGATTGAGAGGGCAAACAAAATTTTGAATTAATTTTCTAAAGCAAACTGACTCTCTCTCTCTCTCTCTCTCTCTCTCTCTCTCTCTCTCTCTCTCTCTCTCTCTCTCGCTTTCTCTCTCTCTCTCTCTTTCTTTCTTTCTTTCTTTCTCTCTCTCTCTCATCTTC